GTGTTTGGTGCTAGATAAATTGATGCTGGGGCAATGGGGATTATGACCTCTGTTTTTAATTCTTCCCTTTGTTTTCATTTGCTAAAATTTTGGAATGTTAGTTACTGCTGTAATAACCGTTAACTAAATCTCATGCCACATATGAGGAAAAATCAGTTTTTTGGGAACCTCCATACTCGACCATCTCCCCTTTTGACCCTTGGCCTTGGCCCAAGGTAGTGAACCAACATGTGCTAACCAAACATTTCCTTTATACTCAACTTCCAACAATATCAATGGTAGTATTCATCTCTTCTCTTGTTACTCTGCATTGAATTTGGGCTTTCGAGGACACTTTTTTAGCTGGTTACTGTACATTCAATTACAGTGGCAGATTATGCACAGAGTTAAAAGATTCTCCACCTCTCCCTTCACCTGTACCCAGCTTGTGCATTTCTTAAGTATATTCCCCCTTAGTCTCCAATTGTTCCAATCCAAAATTTATCTTTCTTTAATTTTTGCCTCCTCTTACCAATATCACTTTCTCTGTTTTAAACTTAGTTTCTCTCTGGATAATACAGTATCTTGTTATTTAAGTTATTTTTGTGCTCTTCCAGGCCAGAATAACCACTTTGTCAAGTATGTGTACCTGTCTGAGACCTGTTCTTCAGTGCATTTTTGCCATGTATTCTTTCTTGTTAGTTACTTCAGGTGTAATAATCACTTCATGTTTACATTGGTATCCCAAAAACTTTTGACTTCCAGGAAATGTAGACCATAAGATAAAGGAGCAGGATTGTGCTATTTGGCTCATTGAGTCTGCTGCATTCAATTATGGCTTATACGTTTCTCAATCCCAATCTGATTTCTCCCTGTAACCTTTGATTACGTTACTATTCAAGAATCTATCTATCTCTCTATCTTAAATACTCAATGATTTGATGTCCACAACCTTCTGCGGCAATGCATTCCATAGATTCACCACTCTCTCTGGCTGAAGAAATTCCTGCTCATCTCAGTCTAAAGGTTCGACCCTGCACTCTGAGGGTGTGCCCTTGGGTTCTTTGTCAGTCCTAGTGAAAACATCTACTCCACGTCCCACCCAATCCAGGCCTCTCGGTATTCTGTAAGTTTCATTGAGATCTCTACACCCTTTTCCTGTCCCCCCAGTAAACCTTCTAAACTCCAAGTGCAGATCCAGAGTGCTCAACCAGTCCTCGTATGATAAGTCCTCAATCCCCAGGATCATTCTTGTAAACCCACTATGGACCTGCTCCAAGGCCAGCACATCCATCCTTTGATACAAAGCCCAAATCTGTTCTCGGTATTCCCAATACAGTCTGAATAGAACTGCTGTTGTATTCTGATCCCCTCAAAATGATTGCTAACATTGCATTTGCCTTCCTAACTGGCAACTGAACCTGTATGTTAACCTTAAGAGAATCCTGAGCTAGGTCTTCTAAATCCTTTTGTGCTTCAGACTTCTGAACCCTTTCCCCAGTAAGGAAATAGTCCAAACTCCTATTCTTCCTCCCAAAGTGCATAAGCTCATACTTCCCCACATTATATTCCTTCTGCCACTTCTTTGCCCATTCTCCTAACTTGACCAAGTCCTTCTGCAGCCTTCCTGCCTCCTGAGCACTACCTTTCCCTCCATCAATCTTTGTGTCATCTTCACACTTAGCAACAGTCCCTCAGTTCCTGAAAAAGACTCCTTTATCCCCACTCTCTGTCTCCTGTCAGTTATCCAATCCTTGATTCATGTCTCTGTCTTGCCCCTAACACCATCAGCTCTTATCTTATTTAGCAACCTCCTGTGCAGTAGCTTGTCAAAGGCCTTTTAGAAATCAAATAGATCACATCCATTGGTTCTCCTTTGTCTAACTTGCTTGTTACCTCCACAAAGAATTCTAACAGATTTGTCTGGCGTGACCTCCCCTTGACTCAACAGTATTTTACCATGCTTTCCAAGTACTCTACAATCGCAAGCTTAATAATGGACTCTAAGCTCTTACCAGCACTCCAATGTCCACTCTTAACTCTCTCTTGTTGTTTATATATCTAAAGAAACTCTTGCAATCTTTTATCATACTAGCTAACTTTCCTATTTCATCTTCTCTCCACTTATTGCTTTGTAGTTATTGCCTGCTGGTTTTTAAAGGCATCCCAATCCTCTGGCCTCCCACTATTCTTCACTGTTTTTCGTTTTGTTTTATACTGTCCCTGCGTTGCCTTATCCTTCATGTTTTTTTGTCTTCCTTGGGATGAATTTCTGCTGTGCTTCCTCAATTACCTATAGAAACTCTGCCATTGCTGCTGCACCATCTTTCCAGCTAGGCTGCTCCT